GCCCCATGCAAATCCCACAAGCGAGCCTGCTGAAGACTGGACGGGATGATTTGAATCGCCGCCAGCAGCTCTGTCCCAAAGAGACTCCAAGCATCTCCTCGCTGCCCCGTGAGCCACAGAGCACTTCCCAGTAGCTAAGGCAGCACCTTCAGGCCTCGACTGGTTTTGGCTGGGCTGGAGTTAATTTTCTTCAGTAACAGCTCATGTGGTGCTACGTTTTGGATTTGTGACCAAACATCGGTGTTGATAACACGATGATGTTTTATAGTTATCGCTGAAGAGTGCTTGCGGTGTCGAGGCCTTTTCCATTTCTCACGCCGCCCCACCGGCGGGCAGGCTGGGGGTGCGCAAGGAGCACCTGCGCAGCTCTTGCTTTACCTATTAAGCTGTCTGTATCTCAGCCCACCAGCGTTCTCACTTTTACCCTTCCGATTCTCTGCCCCATCCGCGGTGGGAAGCAAGCGGCTCTGTGAGGCTGAGCTGCCTGCTGGGGTTAACCCGTAACAGGGCCCAAAACATCCGGCAAGATACCAAGTGATTAAAGGCATCCCCTGTGTCCTGACAATTCCATGTCTACGCCCAGATGCTGCCAAGAATGGAACTCTGAGGAGTACAAGGGGGAGAACCCACCACCAAAACTCTCCGTCGGTCTGGCAGAAGACCGGAATTCCCAAAGACAGGAATCAGTTTAGCCCCCAGGGCATGAGCAGCTCCATAGTTGAAAGGAACCTCCCTACCAGGTCTGGAGCATGGCAGGGAGCACCAGGCACCTCACCCTTCTTTCCAACCCAAAGATATCAACCAAGTAGGCACCAAGACAGGGGTCACTTCCTCAGGGCCGCTGCAGGCAGCACCATCCCTGGCAAAAGCTTCTCCCTGCCCAGTGTGACACTAAAAGCGACCAAGGGGAAGAAACCAGGGTTCAGAAGAAGAGCAAGGCGTTCTCCACCTACCCAGCAAGGGGACGTACTCCGACCTCTCCTTGGCAAGACCCATGCCAAACATGCTAGAAGCAGGGGAAAAGAAAACACAAGCCAATTAGCTGATGAGAAGCCAGGGGACATAGCGAAGCAGCCTGGCATGGAAGGGCAGGACGTGCTCCTCGGGTACCTGCTTTTCTTTCGAGCAGTGCGTTATCCCCCTGCGCACTCCTCCAGCCAAACAGAGTTCAAGCTGCCAGGCTAGGACAGCTTCAAGCATAAAGAAGCCCAGTGGCCACGGCGGGACAGGAGAACACGTCAAGAGCCCACCAGCAGAGGCCAAACCCAGAGAAATTGGAGACACGTGAACGAAGCCAGGATGTGCAACGTTGGCAAAGAAAAAGAAGCGTCTTGGAAAGGAGGATTTGGTTCACTGAATGGGTTGGGATGCCAAGCACCTGGCACCTTTGGCTCAAGTCTTCCTGTAGTTTCAAAGCGACGGCAATGTTAACATTCAAACCGTCATCCAAAGAGAAGGTCAAACCCCGGCCCAGAGGAAGAGTTAAAAAAAAAGTGAGTAAGAGTGTCCCTATGGTCCAGGTTTCCCCATGGGAACCGGACTGGCCCAAAGCTTCCTGCTCAGAAGCAGCTGGGACAAAAACCTCCTTGGGTCGGCACTACCAGGGCACACGGTGGAGCAAGCGCAGCACAGAAAGCACAGTCGAAAGACATTTGGGCAGAGCCTGCAAGGCCAGGTTGTGTCTACCAAGATGCAAGAACCTTCCCCATCCCTTGGCTTCACTCCCGCTCGCTCAGCTGCAGGAGACAGCAGCGGGGAGAGGCAAAAAGCCTCTCCACAGGGAAGGGAGACCAGCTTGGTCTCTCTCTGCAGAACAACTCCTTGCTGGCCAAGGCTGCACCTTTGGTGCCACCATCCCCTCATCCAGCCCCCTCAGAGGACGCTCACCTCCTCTTGGCAATCCCCATGTATTGATAGATAGTGTCAGGAGAGCTAATGCCTTTCATCTCTCTCGCTGGCAGCTCCTTGAAGCAGTAAGGGGGCAGCTGAGAGGCGGCGTAGGTCACTGCGTCACAACACACCAGCCCGGGGTACTGCACCATCATCCGGGCTGCCAAATTCACCTTCTGGCCAATGACTGCCGAGAGAGAGCGAGAGCGCACGCGTTGATGTACCCGTGCCACCGGCCCCGCGGTGCCCTTCCAGGCGAACGGCTGGCC